TGTGCTGCTGTTGCAGACTTCCTGTGTTGCAATAGTCATTTTCCACCTCTGTGTGATGTTGTGAGATACTGGTGTGCTCAAGGTACGTTCTATTAAATATGGGGAAAGAGGTGCCCACAGGCTATAGGTAAATACTTGGAGCTTGTTAGCACTCAGTTAATGTAGTTTTGATAGTGTGCAGCTGGTGTAGATAGTTTGATGTTCGCATCCTCTTATGATCTAGCTGGTGAGAGTCTATTCATTTTGGGTATAAAGCTGTAGATTGCTCCTCTGCTAATTTATGCTGCTTCTCAATTGGGCATACCAGCTGCAGCACAGTGTGACATTTCTTCAGACGTGTTGGTTTCAGGTTGAATCTGGTTCCTGTCTTGTCAACATGGTGTGTATGTGTGTCTCAGTGCAGCCTGTGGCTGTTGCTGTCTACCTGGCCTGTGTATCCTGAGTGCCAAATGACGTGTGCTGGATTGTGGCTTTTTTTTTGTGTGTGTGTGACTGAGTTGCTCTTGGATCATGGTTACCTAATTTTGGGTAAATATCAACTGTTTTTGTGTTTATACACACATAAGTTGTCTGATTTGCACTTCAAGCATTGTTGAGGCTGGAGGAAGCTATCAGAAAAGTTTCTGAAGATTTAGGGTCCATTCCAGTGAACAGGCTGATAGCAAGATAGAAGGCCTGCTCTTTAGTAGCTTTTAGTTTCCATGCAAAACAAGGTGTTCACATTGACTTAGGAGAGCAGTTGAATGCCACTCATCCATATGTGCAAAAAAACAATCATTAGAAAATACTGCATGTGTTCCCGAATGCGGTCCTTTCCTCTAAAGAACTTTACTATTAACGGATGGTTTTCCTTTTGCAGGATAGACATGGGCCATAATACGCTCACTCTTCTCTATATTGATATCTTATAAAGGAGCTTCTAAAGCTTAGTAAGTTTGGATGAAGAACATTAAGTGCATTATATAGAAGCAGAGCAAGGGTCTCTGAATGTTATTCAAAAGGTAATAACCATTGGTCTGAGATTTGAGAGACTGAGAAGAAAAAAGCATTTTCCTCCATCTTAGACTTGCCCAAGACGAGCTGAAATAGAAAGTATAAGGAAGCTATCACATATCTGTAATCCTTCTACCGTGGAATACATCTTATTAGCAATTTATGCATATATTGCTAGTAGTTTTCTTAGAATCTTATGAAGTGGTTATTAGATCTCGTCTGAGTTGCAGTGCCTGGATTCAGTGACCCTGCCGATCCTTCTTAGTTTTCTAAGCGTGTGCTATACTCCACTGTAAATGTGTTTTTGCTCACTGGTGTTTTCAGTACTGCCTCATCTCATTATGCTGTCTCTAGATCAGGCTTTTCAGAATAACACCGCTTTTTTTCCTGAGGAAGACCTGGTCTGTTCTCCCTCTAGACAGATAATACAACAACAAAATATTATAAATAAAGCATAGCAAAATTTACCTGCTTCTGCAAAGTAAATTATCTGTGATTTTTGCATTGAGTTTTATAAATGGTGCTGGAGGAAGGCTGGAGTTAGACATTTTTAACACCAACATCTGTGCATGTATGTTGGGGAATTTCACCGCTTGTCTGCCATCAGCATGGCTCCCCTGTTGTTGGAAGCAGCATGGTGCTCCAGTATGTTAAACAAACAAACAAACAAACACAACAACCAAACAACAACAAAAAGAAACACAGATATTTTCCACCATGCTGCAATGCATGCACAGGAATCAGGGCTAGGTGACAGTGTGGTAAGACAATGTGATTGCAAAAACGCCTACATCCTTCTTCTCGTCTCTGTTGTTGCTACCCACCATGAAACCAAAAGGAGAAGATTTTCCAGCATAAGGCAACTGCAGACACCATTCCCTGCAGAAAACAGAAAGGGATGAAGAGCAGAGACAGAGAAGAAGTTAAAAAGGAGAAATGATACTAGTCTGCATGACAGGCGAGGCAGGGCACTAAGTTCATTGCTCTGGTCTGGTATGCAAAATCCTGCTTTGTCATAGCTGAAAGTAGTGGTCTTGTCATTTAATTGCATGCAAGAAGGTAGGCTAGCATTAGAATTTGTGAAAGCTGCAACACTCTCTCTTCATGTAGCTGACAAAAAAGTAAAAGTATTTTATTTTGAGGTATTTTTTAAATTTAGTTGTAAGTCTTTCATGACCATCTGATGGGTAGTCTAGTGCTTGGTGCTAATGTGATGCCACTGGTTGCTGGAGCATGTGCAGGGTGTGCACCCAAGCACATTGCTGGACTCCAGCAGTGGTCTGGTCTGGCAGCTGCCCTGCCCTCTGTGGTGCTGCCTGCCCATCATGTTGCATTTGGTCCACGTTGCATACATGGACCACTGTCGTGTGCCTCCTTGTATGCTCTGCCAAATTAAGAGGCATCCAGTTTGTGATCAGTGATGTGAAACCCGTAATTCCCTCACACACAAAGGATTTGATGAGTAAGGAATCCCCATGCCAAGAAGGTGTGAGTTGATGTGGAGGCCACTCTAATTTTTCTTGCTGTGATGCATTGATGTGTGTTGTTTGCATCTGCGATTCAAAGTAGCTTATGGGTCACGTGGGGCAGTACCTCCAGCAGGGTCTTAGGGATATGGAAGGGAGTTGGAAGTGGCTAGATTGCTCTGCTGAGGTGAAAGTGATGGAAAGGCTAATTACAGACCATCTATTTTCTGTGTTGTGCATGCCGTGGCACTGAAGATTAAATCAGTGTTAAAACAGCTGGCAACAGAGAGTTTTAATTGTTTCTACCATACCTAATTTAGGTGCAGCTTTACAAGGCCGATGGGTTTTCTCTTTATGAAGGCTTGATCCCAAGCCTATTAGAATCAATGAAAGATGCTCTGTGTTATTGGTTAGGGAATTTCTGTCTTACAGTGTTTTTCAGCGGAAATCTTAAAGAGCGATTTTGGTGCTTGACCCTTCCACATTCACTTCTTCTTACCTTGGAATGAAACAGTGTTTTCCCAAATACTCTTCAGATCCATTGCATGTATGTGTGCTGTAAATGGAACAGAGCCATTTGAACTATTGTAGAGTCAACTTATTTTTCCAAAGCCTAGACAAAAATTTCAAGCATTTCTGTAACACTGTTGAGATTTTCGGGCCAGAATTTTGCAAGTTCCTTGGAAGATGTTTCTTTTTCTCTCTGTGGCCCTGGGGATGGAATTTAATTAGATGGGTATTACGATTGTAAAGAAGAATGTTCATACATAGGGCTGGATTCCTGTCTTTATTTTCATGGAAAAAAAGGTATTACCTAGGAAATGACAGGAAACCAATGATGACTGTAATGTGATCAAAAATTCTGTGATCCTTTTGGGGTGGAATTGACCTCCACTTGAATATGGTGGGGTAATTTTTTTGGTCACTTCTTGTCTTACAAAACCACATATCAGTGATCGTTCAGCTACTTTATATGTCCTTACCACGTGATGATCTGGAGATGATAATGCATTGTCAGGAACTTGAGGCTTGAGAATTGCAGTTTTCTTTTTAATGGTTATCTATGATGGCGATACACCACTCGTTGCAGTCTTTTTTCCCAATGCCAAGAACACATTTGCTCATATTCAGCCCTGTTTTTTGTTCTTTACGTTTGCTGCTCTTAACTGACAGGTTTGGTTTATGTTAGCACTGTACCTTTAGAAAACCCTAAATTGGACTGCTGTGGTTATGTTTGCCATAGTATGTTATTTGTTCTCCTGGCATTTCCTTCATTTAATTATTCTTTGCGTAAAAACAAACAAACCTTAAAACCATTTTCTTCCTTCCCAGGAATGTTTCTAAATTACCTCCTTCGTTATTTTCTGTGCTTCAGGTTAGCATTTCTCATGGTTATGTGTGGATTTTTAGGCTTGCTTTTCCTCATCCCAGGAACTTTTAGGACAGGGAATTTGTGAGTGACAAGGCCCTTTTTGTTTCTGCATGGCAGACTCTGTCCCCATTTTGTAAAGAAGATAGCTGGGTGGGGAGCACCAGGAGCTGGCACATCTGAGGATGTCAAACCTAGGCACAACAGCGCCCTTCCTCCTCTGAGTGGAGGTTGCTATACTCAATCTGTGGCTGTAAATCAAGGGTGATTCATTCCCAGTACTGAGCATGCAATTGCTTGCATCTCTACCTGGACCCTCCCCACCCCTTGCACCAGTTTCTTATTGTAATTTCAACCCTACAGGGCTGCATGTGCAAATGAATTTGCCAATAGTGGAGCTTCAAACTGGCACAGGTCTGGCTGCAGGATTAGGATTTGACTTTATTTGTAGCCAGTGTTTTCACATAAATACAAATGACTTTTCAGTGTACAGCAATTTTGAATTTACTTCAGGAATACAGTATCACTCAAACTGAGATAATATAACCACTGAAGCTTGTAAACTGTGTTGTTAATTAGACCATGTGTTTTTGACGGACTTTTTAAACCTATTAAAATTTACGTGTTGGGGATTGAAATAATTAGTTCTCTTTCACATGTTTGACAGAATTGTGAATGGCATTTTAAATTTCATTCTTATGGTTGAGTTGCTTTGAAATATACCAAGGAGGAGAATCTGTATATCCTTCAGTGATGTGGGCGCTGTGTGGTTGTTGAAAATACATACCTTTCATTTTCAGTATGCTTTTTTTTTTTTTTTTTTTTTTTTTTAATCAAGAAGTTTCTCTGACTGTAAGGAAAGTGATTTGCTTTTAAAGGTGACGTGCAAGTTTGGGAGTGCATTGATGAACAGAAGGAAGACAGGGTCCTCAAATGGGTTGTAAAATTGGTCTTTTTGGTGCAAGGGTATTAGGGTATTCCAGGAAAGTAATGGCATTTTATACACAGAGTTTGACTGTTAGAGAACTATCATTTCAAATGTGTGATTGAAAAGTAAAAAAGGAAAAAGGAAAAAACAACAACAACAACAACAACAACAACAAAAAAAAAAAAAAACGCATAATAATTTAGAAAACAAATAATTTTGTTCTGTTTCTGATCTTCATTTGTAGCACCAGCAACAAGTGGTGCAGGCTGTGGAGCGTGCCAAGCAAGTGACCATGGCAGAACTGAACGCAATCATTGGGGTATGTGGTCTTTCCATTTCAGCTCTAACAGCATTTATAAAAAGCTTCTTTTCCCTTTCCTTCCCTTCCCTCCCTTCCTCTCCCCTTCCCTTCCTTTTCCTTCCATTCCCATCAAAGGGGCTAAAGTTGGGGGCAGTGGAGAAGGTCAGTAGCTTGATCTTGATAAAAGCTGGCTACTGCCTGAAAATGTTGTTTGTAGTGTGTAGAGAAAACAAACAGGTTAATGCCTGTGTTGTATCCATTCCCTGAAGTTGGATGGATATTTTTCTTTTAAGTCAGATTATTTTCTTTTAAGACGGATTGTTTTCTTTTAAGTCACGTTGCTTCCTTTGTATACTGCCTGCTAGTCTGCTTCTGCACCATGCTAACAGCTTTTGTACGGCACACTAAGCCTCAACGAGGAATTGTTCCCTTTGCTGCTTCTCAGACTACCGTGCAGAAAAGCACATGAGAATATTCACCACACATTCATATTTACTTTGCAAAATAATTTGGTTACTTTTATAACAAAAAAATCTTGGAAACAACATACAGCAAAATATCCCTTCCCTGGTCCGAACATACGTGTGTGTGCAGCCTCTCTTGTAAAAGCTTTACTACTGGTGGTATGGGCTCAGTGTGGAACCCCTGCAAGCTTTATGGGTGTGGGCAGCCACAGTGTTTACATTTTATGACTGGTAGGAAAGGCATAGTAACAAAAGCTATGGCTGTTCCCACTACATAAAATAAAGGTGAGGAGTCATAGCTTAATAGCACATTATTCATGTGTATAATTATGCAGCTGGTGCAAGCAGTTGTTTAAGTTATTCTAATGAAGACGCTACAACTGTACTTCCCATATTCTGCCCCCTCCCAAATGCTTTTTCTTTTGTGTATAGATTATACATAAAAGTCTTCTCCTTTTTTTTTTTTTTTTTTTTTTTATTCAGTGTATCAAACACACTTTGAAATGCTAATTATTCCATTTACTTTCATTAAAATTCAAATTGCTGAGTGAAGATGTGGATAAGGGTCGCAGAATAATCAATCTGAAGTGAAGATATTGCTTCAATTATGCCTCTGTCTTTTAACAAGGAAATCAGGACTCTCTGATCATTGCTGACAGTAGTGTAGAGCAGTGGTCTGATTGTAACTTGTTTTTAATAGTCTGTTTCTAACTCTGTTTTGTATCCATCTGACCACGAGAAAACACTGGTAGTCAATTAGAAGATATAAATGGAAAAGAGTAACCTTTATTTCCTCTGAAGTGCCCGTTAGAAAGAAGGAGGTGAATCAGAGCGAGTCGTGTAGAATCATGAATAACATTTGTTGTACGTCTTTTACGCTCCAGTGGGGAAAGTGGGAGATGAATAATTTGCCAATTAGTTTTCATTACCTAACCAAAAATATTGCCTTCTATTAACATTCTTTGCATAAAGTAAGCAGCTAAGGGTTGGTTTCTTTGTTGTAGAAGTTTTTGTGTGTCTGCTGTGCGTGTGTATAGTGTTGCTGTGTGTGCACATGCCATTTTGTCTGTGTGCGTGTGTGTACACATACACATGCATGTGAATACTTCGCAGTCTATTTGTGTACATTTTTGTCATTCAGTTTTGCATTAGGGAGACTGTGAAAAGTAATTTGCATCCTAGGGATGAGAAAAGTTTATTGATGTAGAGCTTATTGCACTTGTTATTTAAGTTTATCCTGTTTTCATGAATCGCTAAACTACTCAGAATAGATATAAAAAGATTGGATGCTTGTCTGGGAGCCTCGCAGTTACTTCTCTTGGTTTGCTCCCACCAGACAGAAGAAAATTTTGTATTTTGCTGTCTGAATTTATCTTTTCAAGACAATTGAGATTCCATCGCTGGAAATTTTTATAATGTCTGAAGTTTGTTTCTGTGCATTAAAATAGGATAGCTTTCATCTCCCTCAGAAGGGTGATTTTAGCTTTTAGTACTTCCTTTTTCCACTCTTGTTTTATGTTGATTTAGGAAATGCTGCGTAGCATCTCTCTTCATTTTTAGAGAAATGGGAGCAGTGCTGACTGAAAATGCCATGGTCTGCACAGTTAAGGGGAAGTAATCGAATTCAGTTTTAAGGAAATTCATTAAAAAAAATAAAGCTGAATAAATAGAATAGCAGGTTATCAGAAGATCTTAAGTTCTAGTTCTGTGAACACCTGTAATAATTTTACATCTGAACTTAGATAGATTTGTGAACTTAGATAGATTAGATAGATAGATAGATAGAGTCTGAAAATGTAGTGTGGGACTAAAAGAGTCTTGTCGTATTTTGTGAATACTGATAAAAGAAAAAAAAAAAACATAATTAGAAATCGTGGCTCTAATTATGTTGAATTATATTCTTTTGTTCTTGGATAAGTCTGACAGAGTTCATGTTCTTTTAACACTGTGATATTTTAAAAGCTTCTAATGTTTGCTTCCTCTTTAAAACCTCTCTAAATAAACTTCTTTTAATTTCCCATTGAGATGTATAGTGGAAGAAAACATAAGCAATATCATGAGTTTTTGAAATATCCTTTGTGTTCGGGGCCTCTGTGTTCCCTTGACTCAGAACTACTCTGGTTTGAGTGGAGGAGCAACAGCTGGAGTTTAAAATGGATTTTGCTGGAATAGAGTTTGGCACAAGAACAGAATTGAATGTACACAAATCATGTCTCTCTTTGTATTTCACATACATATTTTTATATGAATGTTCTCTGATTTAATGGAATCTGATGAAGCACCTTTTTAACTTTGCAATATTATTCTATCTTCATTGGTAAATGAACCAAATCACTGATCCGTGCAGTTTAAATGCAAAATACTGAAGTGAGCCTGGAACCCGGAGAGATTGCTTGTTCTCCTGACAATAAACTCGTTGTGTTTAATGGAATGAAACACAGTTATAATGACTTCTTTCACAGGTCATGTTCAGTTTAAAGCTGTTGACGGACTGAAACAAGTTAAATATAATCCATCTTCTTTTTGAGAGATACAATGAGAAAAACTATCCCAAAACTATGTGTCATAAGCATGCTGCAAGAGGATTGTAAATCTGCATCTGATATTTGCCATGGGCAGCATGGAATAGAATTTTTGCTTGGAGGAGTTGTAGCACACACTCAGCTGTTCCTTTCCAGGTTGGGTGCAAAGGTGCGAGCAACACGGTGCACCCAGTTGGTCTTCTCAAGTGTCATAGCTACCGTGCTTTTAAACTGGAAACTGCAAGATCACACTCTTTGAACAGTGCACAAATTGTAGCCTCAAATCAGCAGTATGATCTAATTAGGAATGATGTTTTCATTTCCTGTATTATTATTCTGAGTCATCTAACTGTCTTAAAATGTTGTTTTTTTTTTTTTTAATCCACTATACTATATAATAGGAACTTGCTGTGTGAATGCAGTTGAAGGGAACCATGGAACTAACCTGTATAAGAATTTTACCAGAGTATGTTTTTCTGTTTTAAAATAGTTGGTTTTAAAATAGTTGGTTTTCAACTGTGTTTGGGTACTAAGAAAGAAATGGAGGCTGCTTATGTTTATGTTTGTCACAGGAGAGATAAATGCACCAAAAACTTAAGAACAGGTATGTGATGGTGTTCAAAGAAAATGCAGTTTAGCACAAGAAATGCTGAACCTCAATTTTTAGTAGTGACATTTTAATGATAGGAAGTCTGCGAAATTATTTGCCATCAATTGTAAAGGCAATAACAAGCCTTGGTGGTTTTTCACACTCTCTGTGTTAAGTGCTTTCAGAATGACAGCGTAAACTGTGTTAGAGAACTCCAAGGAAGTAAAACTGATTAAAATGTTCATGCTTGAATGGTGCTGATGGAATAGTTCATTTGGACTTTCTCTACCTCCTGCAGCTCAAGCTGAAATATTAAAATTCAGTGGATTTAAATCTCTCTCCCCTCAGCTCAGGAAAAAAACATTACATTTTAATAGGTTTTAAACTCATAATTCATTGGTTTGGAGCAGCACTATTAAATATATTTAAATATTACTTGTATTACTAAGGAAATGATTTAAATGATTTTGTCTTTACCATTCTATACATCTGAGAAAAAGGGGAAGAAAAAGGCTTTGGTTTAATTCTTAAGCATTTTGTTTTATTATGTCACTTTTACTATCTATTTTAAATGTAAGCAAATGGCAGTTCTTGGAAGAAAGGATGCTTCTATATTGTGGCATATAACTGTGAAGCTATCAAGCTCCTTTTTTAATACCCCACCAATCAAAAGCTCTGTCTTGTGTTTGAAGTTGAAGTGCTAGTTTGCCCCATCTCAGAAGGTGTGTAATTTGTTTGGTTGTTTTTTTTGTTTTTTTTTTTTGTTTGTTTGTTTGTTTTGTTTTTTTTTTTGTTTTTTTGTTTTTTTTTTTGAGCAAATTGTGTTTCTGCAGATGTGGAGAACAATATCTGTTTAAATACACCGTATGCTGTTCTCCAGGCATGCAAAGTTTTGAAAGTGTTGTGGTGCAGACAAGTGCGTACAAGTTGTAATACAAACCTAGTGTGATTGCGTGCTGTTGCTCCCAGGGCAGCACTGGTGCAGAGGTCTGCTGTTAGGTATCAAGGTGCTTGTAGCATTGCAGAAGCATTTTCAACTCCTGCATGGTAGGTTATTTCTGCCTTTCGCATGTGCTTGTGCAGTGAAGTAGAGAGCAGAGGGACTTCTGGGGTTCTTTTGATTGAGGGGAGCAAGCCTAGGCTGACATTGCTAACTGTGAGATGATGGAGGAGGGCCAACGCCTTGCCTTGAAGCTTAACAGGAGCAGGGATGCTCTCCTACACAATGCCCAGTTGCAGGGAGACTTTTTACCACAGGGTGGTACAGCAGAAGCTTTTCTCCTGTAAACTAAAAATGTTTAATGGTCCAGTTTGTACGGTAGAATTGTTCCTGCTTGCCAAAGGGTGGGGAAATGTATGTGTTGTAGCACTGGCACAAGTCACCCCTCTTAGGTTCTTCAGGTCCTTTCTGTATTGTTTGTTCAAGGGCTGTGCTGGCATTAA